GCAGATGGCGAAAACCTGATCGATCTAATATCAGAGGCATGAGGTTTGAAACATTGTACTGGTCTATCGCCCCTGATATCATATAAACACAGGAACTGTCTTCGTGACCAGAGACCAGGAGTCTTCCACTAGGGTCCACGCAGAGACCAGCCACAGGAGAACCCTAAGAAATAAATATATAAGTAAAAAATATATATAGTACAGCCAAACCAAATGCTCCCAAATTCGTTTCCTCGACTATAGACATTAAATTGGGTCAATTCTCCCGTTGTCTCCTTACCCTGGCACTGGGTCCTGCCGCAGGCGTCACCGTGTTAACGCAGCCCCTGGTCCTCAGGTCCCAGAAACGGACTGTCCTGTCCTGAGAGCCACTGGCAAATAGGGCTCCGCCCCAATTGTACAGAGATAAAATGTGGCCCGTGTGCCCACTCAGAGCCTGAGGTAAAATATATATGATTAGTTAATTGGACAAATAATGATTTAATTGATTAGTTGTCTATTTACCTGGAAGGGTGTTCCCGTTTCGCAGTCGGTGACGTAGATTTTGCAGTCACCGGCGCCCCCACTAATTAATAGGCTTGATTTGTTTGTGGAGTCTTCGAGGAAGCACAAGTCTCTCACGGTACCTGGAAAATGGGAAAACTTTAGGTTTAGCTAGCAGCACCAGAAACCGTAAAATAATGTATAATTCAGTAAAATTCCATAGAATTCCTCAAAAGCCTAATATTTTACCATCGTGCAAGTCAACTCGACCTCCTGCCCTTCCAATTCTCCGTATCCGCATTGAACCTCATCAACTTCACCGTCTTATCATTGGACCCCGTAGCCATCAGATCACCAGCTGGCGACCAGGCCAGACAGTAGATGCTGCCCTTGTGGTGCTTCGTCCTCTTGAACAGGACAGTAGGCTGGTACGTCGAATGCTGCTCCCTGGGATAAAAAATAAAATTTTTCCAGGCAACAATCTACAGCATTTTCAGACAATTCTTGCTTGATAGAAGAGATCTTCCTACTTCTCAACCTTCTTATACGATATTTTAATAGTTCAATCAATCTCCTCTTACCTGACATCGTTCAAAGAAGGATAAGCACAGATCCTCAACGTTTTCGAATTCGATCCAACTGCATAAAGTCGTCCATTGGGATGGAACTCTGCGCATCTCACAGCTTGGGCATCCTCCAAAGTGGTGACTGCCACGAAACGCGGCCTATTGGCAGTTCCTGGCGAATTGGTGGCATTGTTGGTTGCTGGTGACTGGTCAGCCACTGGATTCGTTGTCCTGGCCGGATGTACTTGGGCATTGGGCGACTGGTCTCTGTGCTGCGATTGGGGAATCGGCTGAAAAAGAAAAAAATAGTTAAATAAAATGATAATTCACGATTATAAACTTAAATGAGCATTAGGAAGCACACGTTTCGACAGTTCTTTATCGTCATCTCCAGGTGCAAATAAAAAATTAGTTCTAACCTCAAATACAAATGAGAAATATTGTTTTTTAAGGAAATTACAAATATAGACGACTACAAATTTGTCTCTTTGCAGTGATTGCAGAATCGGCTAAGAAGGAGTAGGTGATTGGTTGAATAAAGTGTTTTGCTGAAGACAGGTCCATTGGTAAATGGACAACCGTAATGCAAATAACCTAACGATTTTATTAACGGTTATTTCAATACTTCGCGGTCTAATGACTCCATCTGTTCTGAACATAATTTTTTTTACGCTTCCATAAACATTAGGGCGCATACGTTACGACCAGACAATAAACGTCATCGTCAGGTATACAAAATCAATTAATAGAAATAATTCTGCTTAACTCACATCAATTTTTTCGAAGTTATGCCAATATGTTCAGAAACCTGTGAAACGTAGAAATATGCAAAAATTAAGAAAAAAACTTGGAACCTTCTTGCGGCATTGATGTCTCAAATTAATTACATGAATACTAACCCGGACCATTCACAAATTATTTTTGGTTCTCAAGGATTTTAAGTATTATGGTACGCCTCTGGGTGCCCTTCTTGCATACAATTAACGAAAAAAACAAAGTATTGTTTTGTTTTGTTAACAATATTGAATTGTCAATACTTGAACCTGTCCTTGTTTTTTATTTCCTCGTTTTTATAATATCCGTTAAGGTACTTAAGGTGACCATAAGCGTGACGGAACCGTTGCAAAGAATTTTGCAACACATATATATATATATATATATATATATATATATAACGGCCATATTTATATCAATATTATATAAAGATTTATCTATCAAATTTTATTAAATTTACACATTACATCATTCACACATAACTTGCAAAAAACACAAATTAAGAGATTACTAAAATGTAAACAAGTTTTTTAAATCATTCAATTTGGACGCTTGTACCCTTAAAAACTACCATGTTTTGCAGACTTAGTTATGTTTTCCTCAACTCCGAAACGGCTAGACCTGTCTCTGCCAAAAACTAATCACGACTGCTCCCCATCATTACAAATTAAATGTTTTTTGAATCATTCAAATCGGATGCTATGTTTTTACAAAAACTCGATTTTCAGGTTCTGCACTCTTTGCTTCGTATCTCCGAAACGGGAGGACCTACTTTTGCCAAAAACTACTCAGCACGTCTCCCTATCAATAGGAAACGATTGCTCTTTGAACGATTCGAATAATTGTATCCATAAAAACACACACATCATTTTTTTTCTAAGGTATGCCAAAATGTTCAGAAACCTCTGAAACGTAAAGATATGCTAAAATGTTCACTTTCGATTTTTGGATGATTACAATAACTTACCCTACGGGAAGTTAAAAATTATTTATCGACGTTTTGGAAATGCGGTTTTTGACCTTCTTCAGAAATTGTCATAATTCTTCTTTCCTCACAAAAATGATTTGGAAATTTATTTATATAATTTTTAGAAAGGCCTCATAAATTTCGGAAACATTTCATTTATGAAATTGCTAATTATGATTTATTATTTCTTTATATAATTTCTCAGAGTTTATTGACATTTGCGAAATTCTTAAATATATAAATTAATTAATTGATAAATGAATAATTCACAATGACTTAATTCGTTGCAGCAATCACTTTCACTCATCATGAGAGAAATCGAACGATAATTCGATATATAATAAAACTAACAATTATATATAATGTATATATATATATATATATATATATATATATATAGATAATATATATTATGATGATTCATTGCAACATCATTATATTTTTAAAAAACCCAATATGTTATAAAGGTAGTTATAGTAATAGCAAAAAAACGAAAATGAAAATTTTTGCACATCTTTTCATGTTTTTGGAACGGGAAGTTCCAGCAATTTGCCTAAAGGCACGGTGCCATGCACCACTAGTTGAAAATTTTGACTTTTAGTAAGGAAAGTTCCAGCAATTTGCCGTAAGGTGGGCCACTGTTTTTATCAGGATTTATCTGAAGATAAAACAAATCTCACTCTGGAATTCAAAACACAATCTTAATGTAGGTCTCTTTTTAAAACAAAAGATAAAAACAAACAATTGTTAATAAATATATAAATAAATAAATATCTTCCGATCTAGTTCATCTGTTCCATTTATGCAAAGTATGATTTTGCTAACAAGAAAGTTGTTGCAGTTGTTGCTAAATTGAAACGAATGTCCGGCAAATGCATTTTGCAACTTTCTAACAACATATCATTGCACCAGATTCCAGAAAATAGATCATTACAAAAAAAAATCAGAAATAGAAAGTGTATATACGTAGATGCACTAAAAAGTCTTTACGCACCTAACTAAATTTGTGGGTAATTAAGGTTATATGAATATACAAAATACAAAAAAAGAGTACGCGTAAGGTTCACACGCGATTGAAGTAAAACTTATTTGCTACTGTACAAGATGGCATTTAAGTGAAAATAAATACATCACATAACAATTTTGAATAATGGTTATTGGTAATATGGTAACACTAGTGATGCACGCATTTATTAGTGTCAACCATTATACATATTTATATAATGATGAATTATAAATTATATATTTATAATAGAATTAAAAATATGTATAATATTTAAAAACAATAATGTAATTAAAGTCATACTTCAAATATGACATGATCGGTTTGTCATTGTAATTAGCATTTAGAAATGAACCTTCATTAAAGAAATGAAGTAATTGCTGATTAATAAATTCTATATTTGTTCACACATGATTACGTTAAATAACACCAAAAAAATATTGTTTTGCAACTTCACTCATTACGTAATTGTTAAAATTAACATGCATTCATTGACTGCTTGTATTTTTTTACTTTTCCGCTGGCGATATAATCTCATTCTTTGCACAGCTGTAATATCTGTCTTGCTTAAAAAATATTTTCCATTTGAAAAACTACAAAGATTTATAGAAACTACGAATAATATAGAAATAATTTCTAATCAATAAACTTACGTTTAGTACACGGCACAAATGTTTAATTTGTTTTAATATTTTCAAGAAATAAGGTAAATTATTCTTCTGATTCAGGCATTTTTCATTAAATCAAGATTTGTACTACGATGTAACTTTAAAATGTTTATTTATCTATGCCGATTTCCTTGTCGATATCGGTACGCGTACAACGTTAATGCCGATACGCATACAACGACAGATCTCTATTCACATACACGACGACTAATCACAATCGACCCGTATAGATATGATCTCATCGAGAGCGAATGACGAACAGTTCGGGCGTAACGGACTTCCGTTGCATTTGTACGGACCCACACCCTAGTCGCGCCTAAAAAAGTTTTACTTCAAAAAATTTGAATAGACATAGAAAATTTAAAATGGTTTTCAATAATTTGTGAATACTACAAAAATTACACAAAATCATTTTCTTTCTCTGTTTAAAGACATAATTTATCAAACGTTGTTTATAAAAAACTACATATATTTCCATCTACCTGGAAGAATCCAGACCTCCTAGCTCCTGCAACCGCACCACCAACACTCCCCCTGAACCCATTCCCAAAAATCCTCATCTGATTCGTCACACTCGGCGGAGGTGGAGGAGTTCCACAAAAACTTCCACCAGGACAATCATTCAGCAACAAATTTTCCATAGATCTCCTCATTAACATCTGCTTCTTAGTGCCAACATCCAACCTCCCTTTGGCATGAAGATCACCATTATGGTGAGGAAAGAAGACGTTACCATTCTCATCCTCAGCAGTTAGGTCATCAACAGAACGAGACCTGGAACAAGGACAATCGTTGGCGAAGTTAGAGTCATCCCTGGATGAAGCCAAGGAGTTGCGTTTGGACTTGGAGTTGAAGAATCCAAAAGGTTTCTTGGGAGGTGCTTCTAAGTAATAGTAGTCTCTACCTTTGCAGTCACCATTCTGGTACGAGACGTACCCATAATCAGTTCTTTCCTTGTGCACAGTGTTTTTGGACCAATATTGCAACTTCTGGTGCTGTTGGTTTTTACCATACTGGTGGTTTCTTAAAGAAAACGGGCGATGGTTGACCAGACCGTACTTACCACCATTGTACACAGGCGTATCGGATCCATAATGGTTCCTGCTTGGTACATTATGGTTCTTGGTTGGGTACAAAGGTGTGTCTGGTCCATAATGGTTCCTGCTCAAGGCTTCATGTTTAGTTTGGTTCTTGGTTGGGTACAAAGGTGTGTCCTGTTTATATGTTGGTGGCCAAGGGCGTTCTGCGTAATGCTTTGGTGCAGAATTTGGTGAATAATTGCTCTGGTGGTATGGTTTACGGTTTATCATGGTTGGGGTTGGATCATAACACTGAGGGTTTTAATTTTGGAGGTTATGTTTCTTGGTTTTGGTTTGGAGAGTTCGTAGGTTCATTTTTTGGTTAAAGTTTTTGATGCACAGAGTTTGTAATAAAACATGTCAGTTTATTGTTTTTTTTTTGGTTTCACGATGTTGAATTGGTTTTATCTAAATTATAGAAAATTATAAAATAAAGTATTAGTTTTAATTTGTTAATTTACGTGGTTTTGTTTAAATTTCTTGAATTTAATGTAATTTTATAAAGAGTTATTTAACTTTGGGTAAGTTTATGTTTAAATTTAAATAAGTTTTTGCAAATTCTTGCAATTTTTTGTGAATTTATATAAAACTTTATGATTATTTTTTATTTAGATATTTTTTAATTAAATAAATTTATTCGATATAGCGAATAATTAGATAATCTTGTGATTGAGTTATACACTTTTGTATAAATATATATAAACATTTATGCATTTAATAATGAAAATGCATTATTATGCATTTAATAATGAAAATAAATTATGTGTGTACTGCCCTAGGGCAGGTCCGTGAGCTGAGT